AAAATATTTTATTAAAGGAAAAAATAATTTAATCAGTTAATACTTAATATTTTATGCCTTTTAATTAGTTTTAACTCCGTTACAAACACTATTATTCAAAATTAATAAAGGTGTAAAAAGTAATAATTTTGATTTTTTTTTATATTTATCTACATTTTTTTATATTATATAACTCTTCTATTATTATTTAATTCGTTTATATTCATGAGTTCAGTTTCTAGACATGAGAAAATATAGTTGGGAAAATCAATACACTTAATGATTTTTTTACGTCTCGAAGGAATTAAACTTCAACTGTAGATTAGAGAATATTTTCGTATAAACTATAACAATGTTGTTTTACATGAGTTTTATGTGTGATTACATATTTTTATTTTAATATTATATGAATTTCTTGAACTTTTATAAATTTTGTTTATAAAATGAGAATTTCAAATATGTTGCTTGAAATTGTGAGAAAAAAGGGTGATGTTAAGGATTAGTATAGACAAGATCCTTGAGCCGAATTAGAATATTATGGTGTAGAACATGGTAGAGTTAGAAAAGAGATGGTTAAGGAGATTATGGAGGGGAGGAAAAAAGAATTTTTAATAAGTTTCATATTCAAAATTCTTGAGAAATAAAGTTATAGAAGACATTTTCTTCTCCTTAATTATCCTTATATAAGCATTTGATTTTTACCAAATTGAAGATTTAAGTCTAAATAGTTCAAGGAGGATTTTAAGAGTACAGAATTGTTGAAGAGAAACTAAAACTAAAGATTAGGTTAGGAGCCAACCTTGGGACATTTCTCTTTCTCTCTCTCTTCTTTTCTAGCCATAATAAGAAACTATTTTTGACGTAAGGGAAGCTTAATTCTTAACCCTTTGTGTTGTAACTATAGTGATGATGTTTATTTGTTTGATTTCTCTTTCTTGAGGGGTTGGATTTCTAGTTCTACCTTAGAAAGGGTTGGTCCGCTGTTGTTTATGGTTGCATGTGGCTTCTAGTTGAGTTGTTGATTTTGTAGGTGGTTTGGGTGTTTTTGACTCAAAGAGGAGTGTATTTTGTTTTAGAAAACCTTGTTAATGGTGAGTTTCTAGGTTTTTTTTTTTTGCATAACAAACCATTTTTGTTGAGTGAATCTTCATGAAGAACAAAAGTTAAAATTCTTTTAAACGATGAGTTTTCACTTAGTAAGACATTATCTCTCTTAGCAAAATACCATGAACACCATGAATCTTGGCTAAGTGAATCATTTTTCACTAAGTTGGTAGATGGTTTTGAGACCTTCTAATCTCTTTTTTATGAAACTATTTGGCTAAGTGAATTATTTCCTCTCTAAGTAGTCTTTTATATTCGGTCAATGAGCTTTTGTCTCTCTTATTAGTGAAGACTTTTCATTTAACGAAGCTTAGCCTTTATTTTAAAGTCTTTTATAATTCGTTTAGTGAAAGGTATTCATTGAGTGAATTTCTTTATCTATTAGCAGAATTTTCTTAATAAATTTTAAATTTCATATAGAAATATAATAACTTATAAAAAAATATTTACTAATAATAATTAAAATTAAATTTTAATTAACATAATCAACAAAAAAATATAAATATAAAATTAAAACTAATTCATCTAAAGATATATTTGATAGTGTTTATAAATCATCTTTTTAAATTTTATATGATAACAATATTAAAATTCATTGTGAGATCTCTTAACTATTTTAAACTTTAGTATCTCCAATAAAGTCAAAATTAAAATTTGGCTTCGACTACAAAGTATAAATGTTTTATTTTAATTATATTTTATTGAAAATTTATTAAATATTAATTTCATGCTAATTATATTTTATTGAAAATTCATTGATATATACAATATACTTATTAACTAAATTTATTTGACTATATTATAATGGTGTTTGATTGATTAATTGATGCATCGAATATATTTAATTTCAAATTTTATTTAATAAAATTCATTAATTATCACTTTTATAATTTAATTCAATCAAATAGAGTTTTTTATTTTACTATTATACATATTTTTCTCTTTTTATTTCTTTATATTTGACACAATTATATAATCAATGTTCACTTTAATTAAATATGTATCTTAATTGTCATATCTTTTAAAAATATTAATTAAATATCAATCAACTAAATAATAATCAATTTCATATAATCAATATATATATATATATATATATATATATATATATATATAGGTATGACCACTTAATTAACTAAATCTTACAAGGCATGTCTAATTATTTAATTAACAATATTATAGGAGAAATAATTGACTTAAATTAAATTAAATTCTAATTAAAAAATTCATACGAAAATATCACAATTAAATTATAGAGGTTATAATAATAAAGTATTGAATTAACAAATTAAAAATAATGAATAATTTTATGTAAATTATTCAAAATTTAAAATTAACATTTATAAATTTTAATATAATTCAATTTTTAATGTCAAAGTTAAGATTAGGTTTGGTGACCATGGTGTAGTGTAGAAGCAGGTGATGCGTGGAGGAAGGGAAGATACAAGATTTTGACGGTGATGTATAAAATTAAGATGATAGTTTGTAAAAAAAAATTTAACTTCTCATCTAATTCAATTTTTATTTATTATAATTATTTATAAATTAAATATTAATAATTTAAAATAATTTATTAATAAATAAAAATATTTTTTTAATAAAAATTATTTATCATAAATCTAAAATATAATTTATATGTTTAAAAATATTTATATACTCTTATTTTAAATATAATTTATATAT